GAGCTTCCTCCTCTTGGGAGAGCCACAGAAACACCCTCAAGCATCCAGCAGACCCAAAATCTGGGCTCTGGAGGTCAACAAGGGACCCCACCCAACCAAATACAGGGAAACAATCCTGGGCAGATACAGACTAGTGGCACAGGGGAGGGGGAACACACCCATCATCTTCCCAGAACTGTAAAAGGCACATACCATGGGAAATTCAGGAAACACAGCCCCGTTTCTGCCAGAAGCCCTCTCAGAAAGCCAGATATGTGACTAGTCTAAGATTGACAGCAAACCAGCAGGTAGACAGGCAGAGGCGGATCCTGCAGGGACTTCAGACATTTGCTGACACACCCCCTGGACCCTATGCTGATAAATGCCGGCTTTGGAGAGCAGCTTGGCCCACCCTAAGAGCCGCCAAACACAGAGGAATCAGCCACAAACTACAGATTGCTTGTAGCTTCAAAAAGACTGACGAGGACCAGGTAAGGACAGCACCTAACATTGGCTGACACCCAACTCAGACATCAGTGGTATCCAGAGGAAGAAACCATCAGGTAAGCACTACACTCTGCTGAGACAAATCCACTTGGTTCTTTCTTCATTATTTTCACTATTTTTTCTTTTTCATAGCCTTTTTATTATTTTTTATCTTTTTTTCTCTTTTATTTTTGGAGTTCTAAATTTTCTTTCGTATCTCCTATTTTATTCATCTTTGATTACTCTATTATTCCCTTCTCTCCTTTTATTATTTTTGTTACTTTTTCTGTGTTCCTTTTCCCCATTTTACTCTTTCAATTCATTACTAGTATTAGTTCTTTTCCCCTTTCTCCTCTCATAATCACTTTTCTTTCCTTTGGTCTTCTCATGTGCTTGGGGGGTTACTTATTTTGGTGGTGTTTTTGTGTTGTTTTGCTTTGTTCTGACAGCACCTATACAACAATGTACAAGATGTGGTAGGGGTTGAGCGTGTTAGCCAGCCAGAGGGGAGTTATGGGCCAATGAACGGGCCAGTAACAATCAGGACACAAATACAACAGGAGAGTTGTATTTGTCCACACAAAGGACATTATGGGCTTTGTTTATTGTTGTTCCTCTAGTTCCTTTAGGTGCAGGGTTAGATTATTTGAGATTTTTCTACCTTCTTTAGGTAGGCCTGTAATGAACTTCCCTCTCAGGAATGGTTTTGCTGTGTCCCATAAGTTCTGGTATGTTGGGTGTTCATTTTTATTTGTTTCTAGGTACTTTTTGATTTCTTCCTTGACTTCATTGTTAACCCATTTGTTATTTAACAACATGTTTTTCAACCTCCATGTATTTGAATCTTTTTGAGTTTTTTTCCTTGGGGTTGATTTCTAGTTTCAAATCATTGTGATCTGAGAAAATACTTGATATGATTTCAATTTTCTTGAATTCATTAAGGCTTATTTTGTGTCCTACCATGTGGTCTATCTTTGAAAATGATCCATGCGCATTTGTGAAGAATGTATATTTTGCTTCTTTCAAAATATTGAAATATTCTGTAAATAAACAAAATTGACAAGCCATTAACCAAAATTATCAAGGAAAAAAAGAGGACTCAAATAAAATCAGAAATGAAAGAGGAAATGTAACAACTGATACCAAAGAAATGCAAAGGATTGTAAGAAATTACTATGAAAAACTATATGCTAAGAAATTGGACAATCTGGGTGAAATGAAAAAATTCTGTAAGCATACAATCTTCCAAAACTGAATCACGAAGAAGCAGAAAGCCTGAATAGACTGATAACAACTAGTGAAATTGAAGCAGTAATCAAAAAACCCCAAGCACACAAAAGCTGTGGACCAGATGGATTCACAACTGAATTTTACCAAATATTCAAAGAATTAACATCTATCCTTCTCAAGCCATTCCAAAAGTTCAGGAAAAGGGAAGACTCCCAAACTCTTTTTATGAGGCCTATATTATCCTAATCCCAAAACCCAGTAAAGACACAGCAATGAAAGAAAAATACAGGCCAATATCTCTGATGAACATAGATGCTAAAATTCTTTACAAAACACTAGCAAACTGGATTTGGTAATTGAAAAGACCACACACCATAGTCAAGTGGGATTTTTTTCCAGGGAGATAAAGATGGTACAATATTCACAAATCAATAAGCATGATATATCACATAAACAAAATAAAAGACAAAAATCACACGAGTATATCAATAGATGCAGAAAAAGCATCTGTTAAAATCCAGCACCCATTTATGATACAAACAGCAAAGTGGAAATAGAGGGAGCATACCTCAACACAATAAAGGCCATATATGAAAAACCTACTGCCAACATCGTACTCAGTGTGAAAAACTAAAAGTGTTACCCATAAGATCAGAAACAGGACATAGGTGTCCACTTTCACCACTTTCATTCAACATAGTGCTGGAAGTCCTAGCCACAGTGATCTGACAAAAAGAAAAAATAAAAGGCATCCAAGCCCTGGCTGGTGTGGCTCAGTGGGTTGAGCATTGGCCTGAGAACCAAAAGATCGCTGGTTCAATTCCTGGTCAGGGCATATGCCTGGGTGGCAGGCCAGGCTCCCTGCTGAGGGCATGCGAGAGGCAACTGATTGATGTTACTCTCTCACATCAATATTTCTCTCTCTGTCTTTGTCCCTTGATGCTGTAATATAGTAGACTTAACTCTTGGCCATTTTATCTTCTCTATTTATACCCACTCTTCTAGGCTCATGTCAAAGACTATCAAATTTATACCTTCAGCCAGTATACTATTTCTCCCAATATTTAGATTCAGCATTCTACTTATGTCTTAAAGAAACATCAAGCTCAAAATGTCTGTACTGAACTCCTTATCTTCTCCCATAATTTCAGAACATATCCACTTTCAGATTATGGCTCACTACCTCCATTGCTATCACACTAGTCTAAACAAATATGATTTATCACCTGTGTTGCTGCAATAGCATCTAATAGGTCTCCTGTTTCCACTTTTGTTCCCTTATATTATCAATATAGCAGCCAGACAGATACTTTTAGACCTAAATCAGATCATGTCACTCCTTGCCTCAAAACCTACAATTGGTCCCCTCTTACAGTCAAAACCAAAGTCTTTTCATTGGCCTAAAAGGCCCTATATGATTTGACTCCTGTTATCTCTCTGACATCATATCCTGATATTTCCACTATTATTCCTTTGCTCTAGGCATGCTGCTTAATTAATAAATATTTGTTAAACAAATCAATCCCAGTCTCCAAGGAGCTCATACCCTACTGGAGAAACAGAGGTAGATAAATTATTACAAACAGAAGGTGATGATTAAAATTCTCTTCTGTAACCCATTCAAAATTCTGGCAGGTGAATGTTAAAGGTTGAGAAATTCACCAGAGGTGGGAGTGGTGTTGGAGAACTCAGGGAGGAAGTAAGAACTTTTCAAGCACAACAAACATAGCACATGCAAAGATCTAGAGAAATGAATCAGCAGAATATTTAGAGAATTACAAGCATCAAAAAATAACATTTGAAGTAAGGGAGTCTGGACATGGGAGATAAAAGTAAATAAATACAATTTATACTTTAGATAGGAATCAGATCATGAGACTCTATTTGTTTCTTTCCTTAAAGTTTTCAATTTGATCACAGAGAAATTTATTAAATAATGTTTTTTTCTGTTTTGTTTTGTTTGGTATTTGAGTTCTGGTTAAGGAAATTCAGATCCAAAACTTAAGTACAAGCATCAGTTTATTTTAAAAAGTCACAGAGGTAGAAGAAATGAGCCAGCTAGGCTGCATGAGCTCAGGAAACAAGTTATGGAGGTAAAAGAGGGACCCTTCAAGCTTAGGAGAAAGAACAGCAAAGGTAATGTGCCTGGGGAAAGGAGAAGGGAAAGATGCAGATGTGCTCCAGAAAAAGTGCACCTGAGAAGCGGGTAGGGAAAGGCATGAGCCATGTCTTTTTGATGCATCCCCTCAACACGGCCAAAGCAGTATTTGGAAAGGATTATGAATTCTCCAAGTTAAAGATACAAAAGAAAAATTTAGTCATATTTAATTTGACAAGGTAAAGGTGTGGGTGTGTACTATATCAAATTTAATTTGTGCAAAATCATCATCTCTGGTAACATTTTTCATGATCTACATCGTTTAGACTACTTTAGTAAGGCTTGATCCCCCTGTCTATCTAAACACTGATTCACTTACAGCAAGCTTCAGGCTAACATTGTTCTTATTAATACCTGACAAATCCACAAGGTGTTAGTTGCACACCATTTTGTATAAAAGGTGAAGTGAGGCTAAACTCAGTCTAAAGCTTTCCCTGGACAAGGCACCCAACCACAGGTGAGTCTCAGCATCTGTAGTTATCAAGAGGTGACAGTTACTTTTGAAATTACAGAATTTTCAGGATCTGAAAAACAAATCTAGAATTTCTGAACTATTGTCATAGTAGGAAATCAATACTTGTCAGCCTAGCTTCTTAAATATTTTTAATACAGTGTAATCTCTGTTAGCAAGCAATTGACTTTATAGACCCATTGTTGGTCTCTGAAATAGGCTTATCTTAAACAAAAATGGGCAATAGAGAATGAAAATATTTCATTTGAGATGCTAACAATAAGGAACTAATTTTGTAATATAGAATTTCCTTTTTAAAACGAAAATAGTATTTAAGATGCTAATGAAGGGGCAAGTAGAACAATCACAATTACTTGCTTCAGAGTAATCAGTGTAAGACAGCAGTAATACTCTAATCTTTATATACTGTGCTATTTAAGTTATTATATTGGAGTTCTGACCTATAATATGTTTTTACTTTGACAAAAAGAAATTAAGAAGGAGGAGGGTAAAAAGGACTATCTGTTCAAGAAACTAGAAAAAAAATGAGAAGAAGGATAATAATTGCTGGAGCAAATGTGACTGGGGCTGATGAGTAGACCAATTCATTTTGGTTTGGTTAACTTACGTAATGATTATAATTCTTTGGTTTCTTTGATTTCTCATGAACCTTAATTGTTTGTTTCCTAGTCCAGGATGAAGTCAGTCCAGTTTTTCTTTCTCTTCTGTTGCTGGAAAGCAATGTGCTGCAATAGCTGTGAGCTGATCAATATCACCATCACCGTGGAGAAGGAGGAATGTCACTTCTGCCTCAGCATCAACACCACTTGGTGTGCGGGCTACTGCTACAACAAGGTAGGAACTTTTCTTTGCCGGAAGTGAGTGTGCTGAGGGTCTGCAGAAGGCAATTTTCATCACTTCCCACTTTATCAGTATTTTAAGTTTTCCAAGTAATAGCCACGAGTCCCTTAGCCAATACTTGTCTGTGTTATAATTAAGGTTAATTACCATGATATCAGTTAGATATTTGGTTTTGATTTGATTAGGGTAAATTTAGGGAAGCCTCATATTTAATCTGATCGATTTGGTAATACATCAACTCTGCTTGTTTTAAAAAAGGTATTCTATGCTGTATTTTACATATAGAGACATAACCATGTAAGCATACATATATTTCATAATAGATCTACAATATTCCCAAAAAGCTAATTTCTATGTAGATGTATTTTTTGTATAGTATGCATTTCTTTTTCTGTGTAATTGAAGCCACATCTTTGCAATAGAGTACAAAAGTATGTTTTTAAGCCACATTATAAAAAACAATCATATTGACTCTCCTGAGTACAAATGCCAAAAAGTAGCCTGAAAACACAGTCAACGCTTGCAGACTGCTGGAACCAACATGAATCTGCAAACCCACTCACTTCTTTATGCTGTTGCACAAACCAAGGCACAGAGGCATAAAACCAAGAGTTTAGAGTCACGCAGTTTCTTTGTATCAATCCAAGTAAGGAGGCTGCTTCTGCTTTTTCTTTATTTTTGTCCCCTATAATGCCTGATTTTCTGTGCAGAATTCCATTCTATAAACCGAAATGGAAAAGAGCAGCTTTTTAATGAAATACACTTTGTTGGGTGGTAAATGAGCGTGATGAGTGTGATCAATCTTCACTTATTGCACAATTTATTGTACCTTCTTAGGATAAAGACTTGGTCATTATATTGAAATAAATTAAACATCAGTGCTTATTTCTTTCCTCAGAAAAATAATTGTTTTATTAGAAAGTGTTGGAACACACTGTTCTTCCTAGATTAAAAGTTCTTATATGCAAGCCATGTATCCTTTGAAACTGAGAGCATTGCAAAATATAAAGCATTTAAGGGACCAAAATGTCTACAAGGCAGCGGAATATGTGAATCTTATGTGCGCCTTCATAGTCATGTTCAGTTAAGCATTAACATTTCGTATTATGTTTCTTTGACCTTCTGTCAGCACACAGGGATTATGTATTTGAAAACATTTTCTGAGAATTTAAACTTCAGTGTTTCCTGGTTTAAGTTGTCATTAATATAGCTTTTAACAAAGTACAAAAAGTCAATGTAAAATGCCATGTTTCCTTTGCTCATCATTTTTCTATATATTGAAATTCAAATTTTCTCTACAGCATGGGAAATAATAATATTTTGATATAGATATAAAGAGTAGGAAAAAGTGAGTTATATTTTCTGTAAGATTTCCAAAACAACCAGGAATATGATATAGCATATAGATAGGTCATTTATGAGATCATATTCCCTTGATTAGAAATTCCGTAAGTGAGCTTTAACGGGTAAATGGTAGAGCAAGCAGTATTAAATTGCTGTCTAATTTTGATTATGCTAAGTCAAGCCACCCAGAATATTATAACCTAACTGTACCTTTCCTAAACTCCCCAGGATCTGGTGTACAAGGATGGACTCAGGCACAATATCCAGAAAATATGTACATTCAAGGAGCTGGTGTATGAGACGGTCAAAATGCCTGGCTGTGCTAACCATGCAGACTCCATGTACTCGTACCCAGTAGCCACCGAATGTCACTGTGGCTCATGTGAAAAAGACAGTACTGACTGCACCATTAAAGGCCTGGGGCCCAGCTTCTGCTCCTTCAGGAAAATAAAAGAATAAAGAGCAATGGGCATTTGGGGCTGCCTGCCCTTGTCCTGAAGGACCGAGATAGCCAAAAAGCCTGTGTGGGTACAACATGCCCGGGCTGCAAGCCACAGTGGGAGTGGGGAGCATGAGACCCCACGGATCCAGGCTTTCCAGAGCTTGAAAGTGCAAGAACTGAGAGCGGTGGGGCCAGGAGCCCGTCACCACTTAACCCTGGATCCTAGGTCGGGTTCTATCAGTTTTATTTAGTCTTAATTACTTACAGACACTTGAGTGTTTTTCTGCTTGATAATCTTATAAATCCTTTCAGGCAATCCTTTCTTCTTTAGAGATAAGTATACCTACAGGCAGAGGGAGGAAATGAGTTGGGAGTGGATGGCAGTACTGAATGCAGCATTCCTCTGACAGATTCTTGGGCCGTCAAAAGCAGGGCCAGCATCCTCTTCATGACTGTAGCCTCCACGCCTAGCACCACGCCTGGAATTTAATAAGAAACTCAACACTGGCTTCCGCATGGAAAGTCAGATCAGAAAGGTTCGGGGTAGGAACGCCCTGACAGAGGATGGCTGATGGGGCTGCGCCAGCAGCGGCCGAGAGTCCTCTCTTTTGTCTGTCCCTGTTCTCCCACACCTGTGATCTCTTTCAACAAGGTACATATTGAAACTATTTCATAAGTTGGTTTCTTGTAAAGATGTTATCTCTCTTAGTTACGTACTTGTTGTACACTTATGTTTAACTAATTTATTTCCATCTTGTTTTTTTTTAAAGAAACTAGCCGCTATTCATAGCTTTGAATTTTTTCACTGTTTGACAACATATGCGCATGTTTACAATATTAGCAGAAAAAAATTTAAAGTATAATTCCAAGTGCTTCTGTAAATATTATCTGTCCTCACCTTTGAAAATATTAAACATGATTTGGTTGCATTTCTAAAAGTGCTTCTTTATTTAAATTTTCTGTCATTTTTAAAAGTCATTTTCTGATATAGTAGGTAAACAAAGCTACGAGAGAATCACAGAGTGGCTGGGGACACTGGAGATTCCCTAGTTCATTTCTTAAATTTTTGAGATGGAAAAATTAAAGGCCAAGGATGTAAAGATCACAGCCAAGATCAAAAAGACTGCTCATGGCAGCACCAGAATTAGAACCCTGGCTCCTAGCTCTTAGACCTGCTCTTTTGTGACTACTCCACCACAAAAAAAAAGTCCCTGTAGCAAGAACTGACCCAAAATTGTACGAATTAATAATCAGCTTTGTCTATTTAAATCTGGTATTGAGTGTGACTTATAGCTATATGCTCTACAATATTTGGACACAAAGAAATCAGGGATATCATAACAAAGTTTAATAAGATGTTGAACATTGTCCTGTGCACCAAAAGGTTGCCAGGTATATTTCTGGTCAGGGCACATACCTAGGTTGCATGTTAGATATCCGGTTGGGTGCATACAGGAGGCAACTGATCAGTGTTTCTCTAGCACATTGATGTTTCTCTCTCTCTTCTTCTCTCTCTAAAATCAGTGAACATATCCTCAGGTGAAGATTTAAAAAACTTGTATAATAAAGGAAAAGTAATCATGCTTTTATGCATGGCTTAGCTGTGATTAAGGAATACAGTCATAAAAATATTGAACATATTAAATAATTATATGATATATATAATTATATAATAGTGAACATATTAAATAAATTAGATCATTGTTGTATTGGCAATATAATAGACAAAAGGTTGAATAGGTATGGGGGGAGCAGGGAGAAGAAAACATTATATCCTTATATTTCATAGAGAGAAATCAATAGCTTGGAAAAATTAAAAAAGTATCAAACAAATCATGTTATTTAGAAACACTAGGAGGCACTGGAGTAAATGTAAAACTGGGTAGTAGTGTGTCTCCTCTGGTGCTGCTAGAACATAGAGAGCCTACCCACTCCACATAATGTCCAAAAGGCAACAGAGCATGGTTGTTGAAAAGCATTTGAAAGCTGAATTAACCTGTGTTCTAGTCCTGACTCCACCATGAAATAGCTGTGATATCGTGGGCAAGTTCCTTAACCTTGTCAGCCTTCAGTTTCCTCATTTATAAGATGGAAATAATAACAACCACAACAATGCCTAAAACATCATCAGGCACATAGTTGGCACTCAATATGTATTCATTGAATACATGTTAATAAAAAGATAGTACATGTAATGTGTTCAACCTGATATGTAATAAACACTCAATAAAAATGAGTTTTGTATTTAGAGCTGATCTGTTTAGGAGCATGTTCTAAATCTAAGCCCTTCTCCCTTCTCAAGTTAATGGGGGAGAATTGGTTATTATATTGACTTTGTTCTTAGAAAATTTGGAGGTATATTTAACTCCTCTCTTTCTTGGCTAACCTCTCACAACAATCACTACATTCTATTAATTCTACCTTTATATTAATCTCGCACAGTATCTCCTTCTTCTGACTACCCTATTTTCTCCTGTTTGTCTTTGACAAAAGTTTCCTAAATGGTTTCACTGCCTCACATCTCTTACTCCTCAACTACAACTTCCACCTTGCTGCTGGAGTTACCTTTCTTTTCTTTCTTTCTTAAGTTTATTCAAGTGGCATTGGTGAATAACATTATATTAGTTTCAGGTGTATAATTCTATAATATATCATTTATACATTCCATTGTGTGCTCACTACCCAGTCTCGTCTTCTTCCGTCAGCATAAATTTGACTCCCTTTACCTTCTTCATCCTTCTCACAACACCCTTCCCTCTGGGAACAACCCCTCTGTTATCTGAATCTATGAGTTTGTTTGTTTGTTTTGTTTGTTCATTTGTTGTTTTCTGTTTTAAATCCCACATATGAGTGAAATCATACAGTTCTTGTCCTCTTCCATCTTAATTATTTCACTTAGCATGATGCTTAGAGTGACCTTTCCGAAAGGATAAATTTAGTAATATCACTTCCAGGCTAATACTTTCTAGAGCCCTCTTCATTAATTGTACTAGAGAGCCCAAGATCTTCACAGCATGCCCACTAAGTCATTATACAATCATCTAAACTCACCTTAACTTTGCCTCCTGACATCCCTAAAGTTCTCCTCCACTAGCTTTCCTCTCCTATATTGCTCAAGCATATTCCATTCCACAGGCCCTACATATGCCACATTCTTTCCCACATCTGAGGTTTTTCATATACTGTTCCTTCTGCCTGGAAAGCTTTCCTTTCTTTCCCTTTTCCCTTAGCAAACATGCTATAAATTAATTGTTTGTTGGTCTTCCCAACTATACTATAGGTTCCCTGAAGTTTGCACCATTTTACTTCTATTTAGCCTGCCCAGCACCTTGCATAGTACTTGACCCATATTAGGTGCTAAATAATTGTTTATTGACTACAGAAAAGACAAGTCCTATAATGAACAGTCACGTTGGGGCTTTTGTTTACCAATAATTAAGGGCAGTTGATTATTTCATGTTACAAAAAGTATATTCCTTTTTTGAACAAAACAATCAGGTTTCCAGTTTTCTTTATTTAATATTCAATATTTAAGTTTTTAAGTGTATAAAAATCTAATTTACTTATTGCTCTATAAATAGAGAAGAGCTTCCATTGTCCCTTATTTCTACTTCCTCTAGAAAACAAAGTTAACTGGTATGAACATGTCCATTTCAACAAATATAAAAGTTGAAATTTAGGGTAGTATTTACTTTCTTTGAATTTTTTATTAGGTCAGATATATGGTGATGGAAGGAGATTTGACTTTGGGTGGTAAACACACAATGCAGTATTCAGATGATGCATGATAGAATTGTACACTTGAAATATAATTTTATTAATCAATGTCATACCCATAAATTTAATAAAATTTAAAAAACTAAAATAAAATAAATTTTAAAATTTTATTGGTTCTATTTCCACCTACCTCATTCCCTGGGAAACCCATGCTAACAACAAGTACATCTTCATCTATAATTATATATCTCTATATCTCTAAGTATTGAGATATATAGGTACACACACATATGACACACTTATATCTATACACAACAGTCCTTTCTATATGCTTTTCTACATCACATTTTTCTCCTTCAGTGGAATCTATGGAAAGTCCTTTAAGTACAATATTAATTCATGTTGCACTGGCTACTGTGGATGAAAAAGGGACCCCACACTAACCCTGACGAGCTCAGGGAAAACCTGCATGGTGGGGCATTACAAACTCAGAGACTGAAAGTAAGTGGTTACATAAGATGGTGTGAACATAAAAAATTCCCAACTGAAAGCAGAGTCACAGCTTTACCACTAGTCATGTCCTGGGTCTGAAACTTCACTGGAAAAGGTCAATCTTTATCTTTTTTTTTTGTTTTAATTATTGAATTTATTGGTGTGACATTGGTAAAAAAAAATTACATAGGTTTCAAGTGTACAATTCTATAATACATCACCTGTACCCTGTAGTGTGAGTTCACCACCCAAAATCTAGCCTCCTTCCATAACCGTTAATCCCCCCCTTTACCCTCTTCTACCTGCTGCCACACCCCTTTCCCTCTGGTAATTATACTGTTGTCTGTGTCAATGAAGGGTTTTTTTTTCTTTTTTTGCTTAATCCCTTCATCTATTTCACCCAGCACCCAACCCCACTCCCTTCTGACAATTGTCAGTCTGTTCTCTGTATCTATGAGACTGTTTCTATTTTGTCTGTTTGTTTATTTTGTTCAGTGGATTCCACATATTAGTGAAATCTTATCTATTGTCTTTTAGCATCTAAAATAACATATCTTTGGAACATCAGTGTAATCTCCTTTTCTAGACCCTTCAGGGTATAACCACCACATCAAAGCACCAGACCAGACCACAGAACCCCTCATTGTTACCGTGTTCCCCAAATACCATCTCTATGTGCTGTAAATGTCAATTGTTAACTGTCCTGCACCCACCAATGTAAAGATGTGTCTCTCCATTTTACTCTTTATCTGATCCCAGAGATCCCCCCACTTTGCTTTCTCCAACCTTTCTAATCTACCACCAATGA